AATGGCAGATGATAACAAAAACAATATCGGCCACTATAACAGCTAGACATGACTGAATAGTTCATATCAGGCCATGGACTTGGTGCTCTGCAGATAGTATGTCTTAGAATCTAGAGAGGTAACTGCGTTCATTATCCCCATCTTATAGATGGGGAAATTGAGGCCCAGCAATTTGCCAGTATTCATACTCCCACTGATGTGGCACAGCCAAGAAAAAAATGTACTCCATGTTTCCAACTCTAGAACTCATACGTGCCTCGTGCGTCCTGTGAGAGTACGCAGTGCAACAGCAACTCTGGGTACTCTCCGCTCTTCCAGTTCTTGCTCTACAATCAAGCAACTGTGTGGCTATGTGGATGCTCTCTGTCTTTTTCCTGTTGGCAGAATCTGACATGGCAACCTCATGCTTTCAAACTGTCACATTTGGGGTCTTGACATTCACTCTGCTTCTTTATGTGGGTGTGAACAACTTGCTTGTGTTTGGTTGTGTGAACTCGAGACTTCCTCATTGCATTGGCTTTAGCAGGCAGGGAGCCTTTAAATGATTGCCAGATGATTTGATGAAATAGTCTCCTAGACTCTGATTCTGTAGTATTTGGCTCCTAGAATCTCTCTCCTGACTAGGGGACTTTCTTCTCTGCCCCACCCCGTTCTGTTCATCAGCCCCTTTAGCATCTCTCCATCTCTCCATTGTCACCCAAGATGCCGCCTCCTCCTCCTGTCCTGTCCATAGTTGCCAGTTATTTCAGGTTCCACCCAAGCCCTCCTCCTCCTAGAGAGCGAGTTCTCAGACAACTCTGTGTTACTATCTCCTCTGCCTAACTGCGGTGGACACTCTCCAGGACACTTCTCCTTGACAGATCCTCTGATTATCCTGGGCAGACACACAGACAGCCTCTTTACCATATCTTATCTGATCACCTCGCCTCCTCTTGAAGTGTGAAGGGTGGAAGTGGATGAAATAATTGAGGACCCGCTCCCTTCAGCCTTGGCAGGGAGGGAAGAGAACTGATTACAGAGAGCTTATCCTTTAGATCCACAAGGGCTTAATTCCAGGACCCCCCACGGATGACAAACTCAGGACGCTCCCATCCCTCCTGTGAAATGAAATACTATTTGCACATAATCTGTGCATAGTCTCCCTTCTGTGTCAGTCATCTATATATTAACCGTCATGTTTCATTCCATGCAAATACGATGTAAAAAGTTACTATACTCACTCTCGGGGAGGTAACAATAAGAGCAAAGCCTGTGTACGTTCAGAAGAGAGGAAATGCAGTCGGTCCCAGTCAATGCCAAAAGTGTGGAAGCTGCAGACAGCAAACTGGTACTGCCTACCCTCTTATTCCAAATTCTCTACTTCTAGACTTCTTTAAAAAAAATCATTGTGGTGTCTTGACTTGAGGTTACCACTTGCCAGTGATCAGAATGGGGGGTGCATCTGTTCACTGGGGCATCTCAGTCTATAACGTGTGCAGAGGCGGGTCCTTTGCTGCTCTATTGCACTCCCTGCCTTCCAGCCAAGGCAGGATGATGACGCTCTTTAAATAAGAGATGGCTCCACCCAAGGGCTTTCAGGCTAACAGTGGGGGGGGGGGGTAACTGGTTTCACCACTCTCCTCTGTGAAGTGACTCTGAGAGTCCAAAGCCTGGGGATTCACTCTCTGTTCAGCCACTAGGTAATGGCATAAGATAGAACTGTGAATATCCCCAGCAGCCGGCCAGATCTGAGAGACTGGGATCACACTTGGGCTCCCTGTTCCTGTTGGAGGACTCACAAATCTATTTTATTCTAGCTGTCACTATTACACAATCCACCCCACCTCAATCCTCCCCTTCCTTTAGATATTATCAGATCATGTGTAGTAAGAGGAAAAACATTACCCCTCTGTCTCTATGCTTCTTCCAACATTTCTACCCATAAGTTAGAAAGTGGAACAATTCCATACTTCAGTTCATTTCTCCCTAAGTTTTGCGCATTTAGGATGCCATATTCTGGTCTACTTGGGGAGACATTTTTGTCACATGAAACATTAGACCACACCAGAAAAGGCCCAGTCCCCTCATAGTGAAAAAAATGGGAAGAGACAGGAGACAGTGAACCTCTCAGAGTGTGCTGGTGGGCACAGAAGACGGTGTACCCAAGGGGTTGGCAAGATCCTATGCAGGAGTCTCTGAGGTACTGAGCAGCATTGACTCAGGGCATGAGCCAGATGATCTCAAGGACACGCTGTGATCTCCTGGATGGGCAGCAGTAGACACCCCCTCCTTCTCCTGTCTGCCTGATTCTCAGTGGAACATGTAAAGACCGTAACAAAGACAAAATCTTCCATTATCTGCATAAATTGGGACGAAAATTCCAATGAAGTCATAGTTCATAATGTTTTAAATGGGCTGAGCAGACAATGTATCCCTATATTCACAGAGGCAACTAGAAGGCGTTTCCTTAGAGATCTCAGGTGTTGATTCCCCTGAGAAAGGAAGAGGCAGAGTCCCAGTTGAGGCAGGAAAATGGCATGCAGAGACCATCTGCCGGGCTTAGAGTGCTCTGAGGGCTGAAAGAACGGAGTGTGTGACTAACTCCGAGGGGGATGGGGGAGGACTAAAGAGGTAGAAGGGAGACTCTGGTCTCAAGGAAGAGGTTGGCACACATCCAGCGGGTCTTTATAGCTGAAGGGGGACCAGGTTTCTGGCATAAATACTAACATTGACTTATTTGGGCTTTTGGATAAATAAGTGATTTCTGTAATTCTCAGCACTTTTCTAATCTTTCATGTTTCTCAATTATTTTTTTTTTTAGTTTTGGGATGAAAATTTATTTCTTCCCTTTCCTCTCTCCAAACCCTCTCATAAGCCCCCTCTCCACCCTCCTACATATTTATAACATAGATTTTTCATTAATTTTGTAGCCATATATGTATATACATATCTATTTCTAAATATGACCTCTTCCGTCTGTATATCTGTCTGTCTGTCTGCTTCCAGGGATGACCGTCTATATATCTGTCTGCTTCCAGGGATGACCATCTGTATATCTGTCTGTCTATCTGCTTCAAGGGATGACTGTCTGTATATCTGTCTGTCTGCTTCCAGGCTTGACCATTTGGCACTGGACATTTTTATGCTATAAATGTATAAGAATGAGGTTAATAAGGTTGGGGTTATAGTTCAGTGGCAGAAGCTTCCCTAGTATGCCCAAGGCCCTCGGTTTAATCTCCACTTAGATACACACACACACACACACACACACACACACACACACAGCAAATGTTCCAACTAACACGATGGAATTCTACACAATTATTTTTTGAGTGAGTATAGTCCTTTCTCTCATGTGGAAAGGTCTCTTTGAAAAAAAAAATACCTACAGAGTAGGAAAAACATAAGTTCCGGAAATAAGTGTGTGTGTGTGTGTGTGTGTGTGTGTGTGTGTGTGTGTGTGTGAAGTATCATTTTTAGTGTTGAGAATTGAACCTAAGGCTTTATGCCTGCTATACAGGCACACTATCACTGAGCTGCACCCCAGGCCTTGAAGAGTATATCTTACCCAGTCCAATCTCTTTCAAACTTCTTATTTTGCATGTATCTTTCCGTATCCATAGAGTTAAATCTAGAAGAGACCACTGACTTTTACTGTGAGGCAGAATATGTACATTAGGTATTTTCATACTACATGGATTTTTGTCACGCACCTTCCACTTTGATAATTATCCCAGCAACAATGACTTCTATGCATGACCCATGGGAGCAGATGTGCTGGCATCCAAGCCCCTCCAGGTTAGTGGGCTTCCCATTGGGTTAGTTACTGGAGTTCCCACTCGCTGTGTCCTTGCCTGGCCTCTTTCCTGATTTGACACTCGGATGTCCAGAGTGTCTGTGACACATGCCAACAGCGGTGGTGATGACAAGCCCCAAACCACGTTTGTTCCATTCCTCCCAGCTCCTCGAGGCCTTCGCAATCGCCACGGCGAGAGCTCCAATCTCTTATCTACACCGAGCAAGAGTCAAAAGTTCTTGTGAGTGTGATTGCAGAACAGGGTCTGGAAAAGCTCCTGATAATTCTGAAATTCCTTTGGAAGGGCCGTGCTACGGATGGGGTCAGGAGAGCTTTGTGGCTTTAGCACTTTGTGTACTGTTTAGCCAGACAACAAACTGGAGAATGGGCGATGTCAAATGTGAGAGACAGGTCAGGATATTGTTACAGACCCATCTGGGCTGATGGCCACTGTCTCCAACACAACTTCTCTGTTGTCATAGGAAGACAACCCAGGGGAGAGTGAAAAAGTCCAGAGGTGGGTAGGGGGTGCTGAAGGACTTGCAAAAACACAGGATATTAGACAGGAAAATAAAATCCATGCACTGAGAACATTAAGAGTCAGGTTGAAGTCTCGGAGGCAGATTTTTGACCTTTCTAATTGGTGGTGCCTTGGTTGGGTGGCTTTTTCAGTGAAGACAGCTAAGCCTGACATCTAGGAATTTAAACTTAGTAGCTGGCCTCACTTCTCCTTATTAGCTAAGTTTGCTAAACATTTTGTACCATGTGCCCTACTTTATCTTTGAAGATGAAGCAACTGGCAAGCTGTCATTTCGATTCTCTCATGCTGGAAAGCCCGAAGGAGAGGGGCAGTCATTCCGCATTATCATCCAGCGGCCTCACAGTGTGCCCATTCCTCCTGCCTTTCCTGATTTAGCTTCAAAAGTACATAGGCTCCATAGAAAGTGTCGAGAAATGACTCAGTCTGGAAATCAAGTTTGGAGCGCCGCGATAAGCTTTGATACATCACCCGTTTGCCCCAACAACAGACTTCTTTTTTTTTAATACACATTTTCATGTAGAAAATCTAATTGTTTAAAATACATTTTCATTCTTCCCCGAACTTGTCATACACTGGAGAGTGAAGCCGTGTACTTTAGCATAGGGACAATGCTTAGCAGTGTTCCCTAAACAGCTCTCTGATACTCTGAGCCCCTGGTCCCATCTCGAGTCTTCTCTTGCTCAGGTACGGAGGTGAGTTTCTCCAAATCAGCAGATGCGTTTGCCTTTGAAGAGGACAGCAGCAGTGATGGGCTTTCCCCAGACCAGACTCGGAGCGATGACCCCCAGGGCTCTGTGGGATCACCCCCAGATATCAAAGCCATCGAGGCTCCATTGGCTGGCCCTCTGGACACAATCCAGGTAAAACAGACTGCCCCTGCTTTACGGTCTTGTCAGATGGCTTAGATTTCACATCAACACTGCTATGGCTGGTGTTGCTTATATCCCCTGTCTTATGCTGCTGCTGCTGCTGGTGGTGGTGGTTTTATCCTGGGTCAGGGTCTCACTATGTAGTGTGATCCTCTCAAACTCGGGGTCCTCCTGGCTCAGGCTGAGTGATGGAATTACAGTGTACGCCAGCACACCAAAGTCGCCTGATGATGTGCTTTCTTAATGTCTCTTCCCAGCCTATTGTGAGTCATAGAAACATTGAAAACCTTCACAATGTTAGTTTTCAACTTACCTTGTAAGCAAGTAAATGCATTCATCTCCATCTCATGCATAAAATAAGTTGCCACTTAGTGAGATCACATGATTGGCTAGAAACCTCCTGGCAGGACTGATATCAAATTCATTAGAGGGCCTCGGGGGCTGGGAAGAAGGCGTTGCTGGCTATCAGCAAAGCAGGAGACATCTGTTGCTTCTAGCCCTAGCAGGGTCTACAATGCCAACCTGAAGGCAGGCAGGACACCGCCCCTACTCGGTACAATTCTCATTCTTTCTCGACAAACCCACAAGTACTTAAAAGTGAATGTGTACAAAAACATGAAGCACACATAAAAAGAATAACAATGGGGGCTGGAGAGATGGCTCAGTGGTTAAGAGCACTGGTTGCTCTTCCAGAGGTCCCAGCAACCACATGGTGGCTCACAACCATCTGTAATAAGACCTGGCGCCCTCTTCTGGCGTGCATACATGGAGGCAGAATGTTGTATACATAAATAAATAAATCTTAAAAAAAAAAGAATAACAATGAGTTTAATAAACCACACCTCTTGCCCTGATGCTGACTATGGCTGGGCCTCTGGCTGGGCCCCTGGCTACACTGGGCACTTCATATCTCCTCAGAGGAGATCACAGTCCCTGACAGATAAGTACAACTGATGCCGAGAACCACAGACAAGGAACTATTGCTCCATAAGTTTAGGTAGCTGTGTGGATTCCAGGATCACACAGAATGTCACTATCTCAAGAAGCTATGTGATGGGGACTATCCTCAGCCAAACATGATGGCCTCATTGGACCCCCTAAGAGATGTCCGTGAGGCAGATGGGAGCATACATAGTGGGGAAGGTGAGTTCACGCTATTGACACGTGTTGTGGTAGTGATTTTGACCCTGGTTCTGTAACATTCCTGTCTAGAATGTTACAGAGGCCACCCCCTCCCCTCTCAGAAGACTTCACTCTTCCTGGTGACCAAGGGACTATTCCATGGACTGGAATTAAACATTTACTTTGACTATCTCTTACCCAAAATGCTTGGGACCAGAAGTGTTTAGATTTAGAATTTATTTGCATCTATTCATAATGATATGTCTTGGGGATAGAATCCAAGTCAAAACACAAAATTCATTTTTGTCTTATATGTGCATACATACCCATGGCCTAAATGAAATTTTATATAGTGCTTCTTATCACTTTTTACATGATGCTAAGTTCTATGCTATGGCATTTTCTTCTCTGGTTTCTTGTAGGCCTTAAAAGGTTTCAAATTTTGAAGCATTTCAGATACTGGAATATTGGATTAGAGATGCTCAACTTGTATTTGAAGTTATTTTTCTACTGGAATGTCCATCCGGGGGGGGGGGAGTTTGCAGTACTGTTTATTCAGGGTCCAGTTTCCCAAAACCATGATGGTCACTGGTCACCATCATTTCTATCTCCACCCCATCAGAGCAAACATAAAGATGCTAAGAAGTGGGAGGGAAAGGGAGGTGTACGAGGCAGAGCTGAATGTGCATTCCTTGAAGAGTTCAGCATCAAAGTATCTCCCTTCCCCTGCACGCCCAGGCTGAGCCAAACCTCTTCACAGCCAAACATCTTTGATAACATCAAACGGTCTCTCAGACCGCTCGCACGTATTCTTCAGACAGCAAATTCCTCGGCTTCTCATTTAAGAATGGTTTTGAGGAAAAGACAAGTTCTTTTCTGCTTCTCCCTAGCAAAGTGGGAAGAAGGGGCGAAGCCCTGAGCAATGCAGAGAAAATGTAGGCGCGACTGCGTGTCTTTTCTCTCGGCAGCCATGTTTGACAGACAAGGACACTGAGGCTGAGAAAAGCAGCCCATGGGCTGTGACAGAGGCCAGGGTTCAGAGGAGAACTGAGAAGCTCAGTCCTGGCCCCCAGGAGAGCTGTATGAACCCTCAGCCCTTTGTGTTGAGTCACAGCCTAGGAATATAGGAAAGGAAGAGAAGAAAATTATTCCTTTCATGGAACTCTCAGTAGACAGAAACATACCACTCATAAAAACATGCTTCTTTATGAGACACACACAAATACATGGATCCATGTTAATACATAAACACATATGCACACACACACGCATATGTATTAACTTTTTCCTGTATCCTGGCAATTCTTCTCCTTTCATATTTACCTGCTATAATATATATTGATATAACATGCATATAAAAACAGACACACATATACATTCAGATGTGTACTGATATACACACAGATATTTATATATTTATATCCTGACATATGCACATACACAAGTATGAACCTGCATACATATTGTCAACACATACATATATAAGTGTGTATGTGTATGATCATGCATACATATACATATTTAATCAGCATGCCTATACACATACATGCAGGCATGAATGCATGCATATGCCCAGGAACGTGCTCATACTTATTACTGCACACACATATGTGCATGCGTATATTCACAAAGACATATGCATATAACAGAGACATGTGTGTACATGTATGCACACATATATGCCCAACAAAGAGACATGTACATTTACAAATACACATGCATACATTCCCACATATTCCTACACACTGAGACACATTCATAATTTTATCTATATACATTTATGATATGCACACATACAAACTTTCCTATACACGTAGATATGTATATGTAGTTCTATCTTTACACACATATTTGCACACCTACTTAGGTATTATTCATACTTACGCACACATACCCCTTTCCCCATTTTGCTCGTTCTTTTCTTTCTCAGAACTTGTACTCCACTCTCCCCTATTTCCTTCTTTCTCAGTCTTGTTTTTAAGAACTCTTCTTCAGGGTGACCAGATGTCCCAGTTTGTCCAGATCAAGTCAGAAGTACACCCCATTTTCTGGAATTGGTGCTGAGATTGCCCATTTATCTCTCAGTGGTACCCTGGGTATGTGACAGATGGGGATGGCCTCCTGTAGGGCGCCCCTGATGTTAGCAGGACAGAAAGTCAGGGTGAAAACAGCAGATCTTCCACAGAGTGATGCAACACCTCCCATCCTTGTGCCCTAGTAACACTACAATTTGGATTTCAGGATCTTGCTCCTGGCTCAGAAAGTGACAAGAATGATGCAGCCTCTCAGGCAAGCAACCAGTCGGACTCCGGGAAGCAGGGGCTCGGCCCCCTCAGCACCCCTCTCCCTGTGCATGCTGCTGTAAAGGTATGGACCGGTCTAGCCCCCAGCCTCTGCTTGAGGCCAGGCTCCCTGAAACCATGAAGAGCAGGGCTTTTCAAGTCTGTCCTGTGGGCATGAGGAGGGTCACGAGGAACCACACCCAATTTCAGGCACTGTACTCTCAGCATTGGGGAAGCCTGCATGTATGTATCACTTTGGAAATATAGTTCAGACAGTCAGGTACCTGTGTGGGATTTCATTAGCCAAGCAAGGCGGTAAATTCCTGTAATCCTAGCACTCAAAGGAGAAAGAAATAGAATAGTGAGTGACACAGCACAAAATAAAAAAAAAATTCAAAAAATGAAGATTTCCCAAACTCACGCTGAGGAAAGCCACAGCTGACTGCAGTGCACACAGGACTGGTAGGGGCCATAAAACACATCTGGAGCAGCTGTGAAGGGAGCAGCACTGGAGCCTTGGGCATTGTAAGAGCTCTACATTGCCCCTTCATCTAGTCTAGCTGGATCTTCAGGCCATCATCAACCACAGCAGTGTCCCGTGTAAGAATGAAAGCCATACAGAGAAGGGACTGGCAGGTACCTCTCTAGAGACACATAAGTTTTCAGGAAGCACATGAAAGTGTTCTCACTGCTATTAGTCTTTCTGGAGTTGCAAAATGAAACCCAGTGAAATGCCTTTCCGTGTGCACTAGGATAGCATCCATCAAAACAATGTGGAAATGACAAATATTGATGAAGATGTAGCAACGCTGGAAGCCCCACACCCTACAGGCCTGAACATAAAATGCTAAACCTGCTGGGGAGGTTGTCATTTCCTTGGTGAATTAAACATAAATTTATCAGGTGGTCCAGCAATTTCACTCCTAGGCATACACTTGAAAGAACTAAATATAAGTCCTTGAATCTTGAAAGCAAGACCATTAGCCATTTTTACAAATTTGAACCAACCCAAATGCCCATCAACTGATGGGTGAATAAAGTCATGATATAGTCATCCCATTGAATATTATTCAGCCATAAATAAAAAGGATGCTATCTGGCACCTGCCACAGAATGACTTCTGAAAACATTATGTCAAGCACAAAAAGTTTGAATCAAAATACATTCATCTATGTCTCATGTATACAATGTCCAAAATAATCACATTTAACAAGATGGCGATTGGAGCTGTGGGAGTTGGGGAGAGCGGAGAGTGTGGAGTGATTGTTTAGTGGTAACACATTCATTTGGGAGCCATGGGAATTTAATAGAATTGGATGGAGATGATGCTCACACAAAACGGTGAATGTATAAAATGTCCCTTGCTTTTTAGCACAGTAATTAAAGAGGCTTCCCTGCCCAGGCAGTCGGTAGTCTAGGCAGGGGAACTTCCTCGCTCCCTCAGTAGGCAATGTGACCATTGGCCTGTACCCTCAACATGCTGAGTGAGGAGGGCACGCAAAGCTTCCCAAGTTGGAGCCAGTTTTGACGGCAAGCTGGAGTCAGACAGAAGGGTGGTTGAGGGTTACAACAAGCTGAAGGGGAAGAAATGTGTATGCATAGCCGGAGAGGAGAGCCAGGAGCTGGGATGTGGAACTGTGTCCTGTGGCCTCCATGGGACTGAGTGTCACCTTTCAGAGGATCACCAACACATTGGTATGCTCTGCTGAGGTGCATGGTATTTGGTAAAGGGGTGTGTGTGTGCACACGCACATGTACATGTGTGTGTGTCTGTGTGTGTGTGTGTTAGGAAGTCTTGCCATGTCTAGCCGCTGATGAACCCTAGCCTGGCACTGGAACACCACAGTGGATCCACCACCGATTTCCCTTTAGGAGAACGCATGTGGTGCCTTCTGCGTCCTGGGAGGTGCAGAGAGAAAAACAAACACGCAACTGGACAGAGCTCGAGTATCCCCTGTGATTGCAAAAGAATGAAACCATACAAGTGTGTTAGGTCAGTAATGTTTGCCACACACTAGTTTCTGGAATGTTCTTGTACCCATGCTAAGGTAATATAGGGGAACAAAAGCATCTTCAGGTCCCTTGAGTCAGCAACAAGACAACCTACCCCCTGTCAAAGCAAGTCTGAGGGGATGAGGCTTGAACAGCAGCTGAGCTGGAGGGAGCCGGTCACCAGACCCTGCAGAAACTCACCCGATGCAGAAATATGATTAATTTACCGGGATGCCAATAGATTCTGGAGTAGGGAAATATAAAGCCACCAGACTCAGAAATACTTTCAATCTTTATTCATTAATCTCCAAGAGGAAGACTCAAAAAAAGAAAAAAAAGACAAGACAAAAGTGTCTGCAGCGATAGGATGTCTGAGTCAGAGAGTTCTAAAGAACTCTATAGGCTACTTGGAGGTCACACTCAAATGCGCTTTTTGTGATTGAAGGCTGGAGGCTGCTGCGGGAGACTGTGTCCGCCAGCTATTCAGGAGCTCCCTCTTCTGTACAATAGTGGTACTACACTTTCTTTCCAATTTGACACCCATGATCTCTTTTCCTTTCAACCACCTGTAATTAAAACAGGTTTGAATTTTTATTCTACTCAATGACTTATCACGTCCTAATATAGGAAGGGCTTTTGGTTTCCAGAGAAGGGTATCTATAGAATAATCTATCAAAAGGACACTTGTTACTTTTATGATCTTAACAACAAAAACCATCCCACAACTAGTGTGTGTGTGTGTGTGTGTGTGTGTGTGTGTGTGTGTGTGGTATAGATGGGTGTATACCACAATATATGCACACATAGCATACCACAACATATATGTGGAGGTGAGAAGACAACCAGTGGAAGTCAGCTCTTCCACCATTCTGGATTCTTGGAATGAAACTCAAGGCTTGGCAGGGAGTGCCTTTACCTACCTACTAAGCCGGCTCCTATGATGACATTTTATGGTCCTTATATTGAACACTAAGATGCAAATTAAGTAACATTTTCTTTTTTTTTTTTGTTTTGTTTTGTTTCTCTGTTTTTCAAGACAGGGTTTCTCTGTAGTTTTGGAGCCTGTCCTGAAACTAGCTCTTATAGACCAGGCTCGCCTTGAACTCACAGCAATCCACCTGCCTCTGCCTCCTAAGTGTTAGGATTAAAGGCATGCGCCACCACTGTCCAGCCATTTTCTTCATCTTATACATGATGAGATTTAGATATACTAAACTTACATAATTGTGTCATATCCACACATTTCTCTTAAGCCCCAAAGTTGTGCCCCTTAACTCCCCTCACAGTGTGCAGATCATAGTGTAGAGTGTGACTCCCCGTACTGAAAAGTCTATATTTCAGAGGGTGTGGCTTCAGGCCAGTGCATGGGCATTTGATAAAGGTGAGGGGAAGAAGGCAAGGTCCGCTTAGGTTTGAGAACCATGTTCTGGATCTGTAGAGACGATGTTAGCTTCATCGGAACCCATGGAACAAGTCACTGTGTGTTTAACTTGAGGTATTTGCAGACACTGTCATGAGTGGTCCCCAAATCAGAGTGCTAAGCTATCTGTAGGTTTTACATGAGCCATTGGAGTTCAGGCTTCTGTTGGGCTGCAGGAAAGCTCCAAGAGCCCCTTGGATGACGTCAGGTGCTCATGTGCAGTAAGGGTAAGGATTTCACCTCAGATTCTCTTCAGCTGCTACACTGGGAACTATGCATTCTGCCTTTGCTGTATTTCTAGGATTTGAGAAAAACACTCCTCACCATTATCACCTAAAACCCAGGCCATGTCTCCCTTTTCTTTACAGTCCAAGTCTTTGGGTGATAGTAAGAACCGCCACAAAAAGCCCAAGGACCCCAAACCGAAGGTGAAGAAGCTTAAATACCACCAGTACATCCCCCCAGACCAGAAGGCAGAGAAGTCCCCCCCACCCATGGACTCCGCCTATGCCCGGCTGCTGCAGCAACAGCAACTCTTCCTGCAGCTGCAGATCCTCAGCCAGCAGCAGCAGCAGCAACAGCAGCGGTTCAACTACCCTGGGATACACCAAACCCACCTCAAGTGAGTACAGCCATCTGGGGTGGAGGCGGAAGATGGCTTCTCTGTGTGAGACCTGCAGGGTCGGCTGTTTGGGACCAGTGTGTCCTATATTGCATCATGTCCTTGTCTGACGTGTTTGGAGTGTGACTCTCTTTAGAAACTATGCACACATTTGCAGGACCATGGGGCTGGAGGTTCTCTGAAGAAGAGGAAAACTCCTAGCATGTCCAGACTCAGCTGTGGAATGTCTGGGAACACGGGGCTGGCTTTGCTGGCAGTTCGAGCTCACTGCTAAAGAGTGGAGGGACAGCTTTCAAGATTGAGCCCAGGCCATGCACCTGCATTGCTAGGCTCTATTCATATTCCAGGTGGACATCATTCTCACGCATACAGTTAGCGTGAGGATTGTTTCACCTGTCTTTGGCCACCCTCGGGTCACAGTTTCAAATATATCCAAAGTTGAGCATGAACAAGATTCCTATGACATGCTCAGGCCTCTAGAAGAGCATCTCAGTGAGGTCACGGGTGGACTCCGCTATGCCACAGTCCTCATCGCTCAATTCTGGTTCCTCAAAAGGAAACTGGGAGATTTTTGGCAGTTCCCATCCTTGTCCTCTGATTTGTTACCTGCCTGGCTGTTGTCAGCTATTACTCTGTGACTTGACCCAAGCTCCCACACACAGGTCTGATCGTATTATAAGTGACTTTTTGTTTTTCAGAGAACCTAATGAACAGATGGTCAGAAATCCGAATTCCTCCTCAACACCGTTGAGTAATACTCCTCTGTCCCCTGTCAAAAGCAATCTGTCTGGACAAACTGGTGTCTCTTCTCTCAAACCAGGCCCCCTTCCAGCAAACCTGGATGATCTCAAGGTATGCAATTTGATCTAATTTTTTTCCTTCCTTTCTTAAAAACAAACAAAAAACCACAGAGACAGAGATATATTGTCATTAGCATCTTTTCCTCCTGACATCTTGAGTAAAAAAGTAGAAGAGGAAGAGAGTGTGCGATACACCCAAGGGTGTTGCAGGATTTATGGTACAGAGGTCAAACCTAAACCTATAGGTCCTGCCTCAGCCTCCCCAGGCTGTTCAAGCTCGAATCTGCTCTTTTCTGCACCTTAGACTCCTCGTTACCATAAATAAGTTACTACAAGTCTGCAAGGGCATAGCTTAGCATAGAGTAGAGACATGCAGCTTATAAAGCTTCCAGAATGTTTTAAAGCAATATCAATTTCATGATGAACCTTTGGCAATCTCTGGTGAAATAGGAAAAATAGAAACCATGGGAATTACTCTTCATGTACGTAAGGACAATCCACGGAGATAATGTGACTATATTTCTTCATAATGATTTTGATTTTTAAAGCAGTCTTTCCATTAGAAAATGCTGACTATGCCAATGGAAATTCAGTAGTTTTGGTTCTTTTTATCCAATACAGATGCTGTTAAGTAAGGATTTTTTTTCCTCACTGAATAAGAAACAATGTTGGTAACCCACTATCAGTAATATAATTTAAAACAATGATCTATTCCTTTATGTTACCAAATCTGGGAACTGTAAAGTCCGTACTACTATATGTACTATGGTCCTGTAGTGCCTGAACTACATGTACTATGGTACTCACTGGGGCCTCCACTTGTAGCGTCCGTGCTACTACGTGTACCACTGTCCTGTCATGCCTGTACTATGTGTACTACAGTACTACACCTGGAGTGTACCACCTGCACTATGGGACAGTTTGCCAGCCCAGCAAGGGCCTAGAGATTGACACACATACAGACAGAGACAGAGACACGGGTCATCCTTGAAACAAGAATGCCCCCTTTGTTGTGTTCCAGGGCAGCTTATATAGGGATCCTTAACTGATAGCCACACCTCAGCCAAACCCACCAGAAACCACTCCCCTGCCATCAAGAACTCCTGAGGGTCTCGTGCTCAGAGAAGCTGCAAACACAGGAAAATAAGTTGTTTTGCTCAGAGCAACTGCAAGCGTAGGAAAAGCAAGTTGTTTACAGGAAATTCAGGGTCTGGGGGTCCTTAACCCTCAATAGGGAACATTTGCCCTGATGTGACAGCTTGTTAAATGATCAAGATGGGGTAGGATATCAGTTATTACAAATTGAAGGATATCCCATGGCGGCCAAGAGACGATAAGATACATGCTATATGCTGATATCAAAGTTCCTCTATTCCCTTCTACAGGTCAAAGAGGCTTGTTTCTGTCTGACATCCATACACTCAGACAGAGACATTAAGCTAATAATAATACTCTTTGGAGCCGTGCTATCACTCCCCTCCAATCCTCAAAAATCCACAGATAAAAGATGCCCTCTTACCTGAAAATGTTACGCTAAGTGAAACAAGCCAGGTGCTTGTTCAGATACCCAATGAGCCGTCTTACCTCACTCTTGAATAGGCAAATTCATAGAGATAGAAAGCAGAATAGAAGTTACCAGGCCCATCCCAGAAAGACCATGGGGAGTGACTGTTTAATATGGACATCGTTTGAAGCTGGAATAATGAAAATGTTCTGGGGATGCATGGCAGTGTGGATGTGCTTGCTGAAGCTAAACTATGTACTCGGTAATGGCCAGATGACAAACCTTATGTTTATTTTACCTTAATAAAGCTATTATTTGCAGCTAAGTAATTAAACTATAAAATTCCTGGATCATGCAGGACTGGAGAGACCCAGAGAAAACATAGTCTAGAAGTGCTGGTGGCATTAGGCAGAGGAGAGTCCCCAAAGGTGGTTCCCTTTGTGCATCAAAGCTCAGAACCATTGGTTGGTGACAGTCACAGTAATTAGGACAGGTCAAGGACATGGTGGTGGTGGTGGTGGTGGTGGGTGACAATAGCTACCTTTCTCTAGCCATTCAATGTAGATTCCCATATGGTCAGGTCAGTCTTGTCAGCCCAGTTTTTGAAACTTAAAAAGTCAGAGTCTTAAAGGGGTTTAATAACAGGCAAGTTAATCAATTTGCAAGTGATGAAATGGGACTCCAATTTAAGTGACTGATCACAAGCTTTTGCCTACTGGGAAACATGAGAATAGAAAGGAAGGGGTGAAGGGAGGAAGCTTGGCTAGATCTGATCTCTCTCTCAGAGTGTGGGGAGATGTGTCTCCGAGTCCTGGAAAAGTTATACCAAGGGTAGACTCTCAGTGAGTTGAAGCAGAAGAAACAGAGATGAATTCATTCAGGATGGAAGTGCTAAGTAGCAACCAAGAGAAAACCTAACCCATGTCTATGATAATAAACACATTAGCCTCACTTAACTCAGCTGTGCTGCAGGGGATGGGCATATACTTTAGAATCTTTGGCCAAGTGGGAAAAGCTGAAACCAAAAAAGTAAATGAGACCATGAGAGAGAGAGAGAGGAGAGAAAGAAGGGGAGGAGTGGGAAGGAAAGAAATGGGAGGGGATGAGAAGGGGGAAAAGGACGCTCCTAGTGCACATTTGCAGAGGGTGGGATGAAGGATTGATGAAGGCGGTCCTACCTCGAGATGATTAGGAAGGAAGGACAGTAATGTGAATTTTCTTTAGCAGACGTTCCACTGCGTAAAGGAAAAGTGCTCTGAGTGGAGTTTGGCTTCTTACAGAGATATGGGGTTGGCAGATGTCTCTGTGAGAAAGAGCTGGCCGTACAAGCATGCGGACCTGAATTTGATCCCCAGCACCTATGTGTGGCATGATCACACACCTGTAACCCTAGCACCAGGGAGGCAGGCACAGGAGGATCCCTGGGGCTGGCTAGCTAGCAAGTCTAAGTCAAGTGTGCAATCTCCAGGGCAAGGACAGACCTTGTCTCAATAAATGAAAGAAGGAAGGAAGGGAGAAAAGGAGGGAGGGAGAAAAGGAGGGAGGGAGGGAGGAAGGAAGGAAGGAAGGAAGGGAGGGAGGGAAAAAACCTGAGGGGTTGATCTCTCTCTCTCTCTCTCTCTCTCTCACACACACACACACACACACGGGTGGGCTTATTAGTGATTTTTCATAGCACATTGACTTTTTAAAAACCTTGTTTAATAAATTAAATTTGAGGGAGTGTTAAGGGAAGGAACTGAAAATTAGGAAAATACTTGTTGGAGATTTAGAAACTGTCCATTTTAAGTTGAGCTATATAAGGCTATTGTCTCTATGTGTCTAAGAGCACTTTTCTTTCGGAAATAGATACAGAGCTGCACACCAATTAAATTATAAAATTTGCCCCAAAACAATTTTAGAGAAATAGAGAGGGAAGCAAAATTGGCATAAATTGTTAATTACTGAAGTTATTGGATGAATGAGTCCATTGTGTTTTTCTAGCTACTTTTTCGTATGTTAGAATTTTTCATAATAAATGACTTTAAAGTTACCAAGAATCAGAAGGACTGAATGTAGAGAAGAGGGCTGTGCAAGCCTTTGTCTCACGCAAGCCCACACAGTCAAATAATCTGAAATTCTTAAGGGAAATTTAACTAAACAAGTACTCATTTTATTTTAGAATGTGATCTGTGTTATTTAATAATGTAGCCAAATTATTCGGTGCAAGAACAGATTCTAAAAATAAGTGCAGAACTCATTAATTTTAAGTAACTCAAAATTAAAACAATAATGAGTTGCCATCTTGCACTTTTTCAAACCAGAAAATTCAAAAGAAAAAAAGTGTTCCAGCAAGACTTTGACAAGAGCAGCATCCTGGATGCCAGCGAAGGCGGCCGTGGTGCTTTTTCTCCTAGCTTGCACTTGACTGTAAAGGGACATTTTCCAGTTGAAACATGATCGTGTACAGCAAAGTAAATGGCATTTTAGCAGACAAGAGCCAGAGAAAACACGACGTTATGCTTCTTCCAACTTGAAATGCATGTGAACACATTTTGTTTGACAACAACCACTTTTAAATAATTATGCTGCCCATAAATTTCTGACGTGCTTTCCTTAGCACACCATGAACGTTTTCCGTAACTTTTAATATTCAATAAAAGTTTTATTTTCAATAACAGCAAATCACCCCATCACCTAGTTAGCATTCCACTCCTGGAAATTTAATTTGCTGCCAAATGTTTTGCTATTCAGAATAGGATTTCAGTGCCCTTTGGAAATACATCTATTATCTTCTTTGATTATTTCTCTTGGATAACTTCATACATGTTAAATTGTTGGTTTAAAATACATTAATATTATTTTAGCCTGGCATGGTGGCACACACCTTTAGTCCCAGCACTCGGGAGGCAGAGGCAGGCAGATCTACATGAGTTCGAGGCCAGCCTGGTCTACAAAGTGAGTTCTAGGACAACCAGGGCTACACAGAGAAACCCTGTCTTGAAAAAACAAACAAAAACCAGAAACAGAACAGTGATATTTTTTAAAGTTCCTGGAGGATGTCCCCAGACTTCTCTCCACTGAATAGTCTGCTGCAGAACCACGTGTTGAAGCAGCTCCACCCCAGTGTGCATCCCCGTGCACATTAAGATGCAGACCCCACAGCTCAGGGGTGCAAGAGGGAGTGAGGGTACTCATCTCACCAGCTGCCGGCCATTGTTTGGCTGCTGCTTGCAGGGACATCCCTTAAACAGGAAGACTGTAAAGGCCTTCAACTTGTCAAGGTCTTTATTTCATGGCTGCTTTGCTCATACAAAACACTACTACTTCTCTGTCACTGGGTGAATCAAAAAGAAACCTTTTATTTTAATTGCACTACTTCCTTAAATTGCTAATGATCCTACACATAGATTATGGGATATTTTAAAATTATGTTTTGTTTATAAAGAGCTGGGTCAGATATCTTACCTATTTTTATATTAGGTCTCAATTTTTTATTTATTTATTTATTTCATATGTATGAGTGTCTTGCCCACGTGTGTGTGTGTGTGTGTGTGTGTGTGTGTGTGTGTTTGTATACCATGTGCATACTAGGTACCTACGGAGATCAGAAGAGGGTATCAGATCCCCTGGAACTGGAATTGTATGTGATTGTGAACTACCATGTGGGTGTTGGGAACTGAATCTACTGAACCACTTCTCCAGTCTACCCTTTTCTCTTATAATGATAAGCACACATACTCATTTTGGCAACTTAATTGTTTATGTTATCACTAATTTCTTTCCAAGGATTACTATTTAAATTTGCATTTTGTGTATGCTTTTTTTGATTTATGAGTGTTTAAATTTTGGTTGTTGATATTTTTATGATGACTTCATTTGCTTTTACCGCTCAAAAACTCGGTTCCTACAGAAAAATTTTACCTATGTTTAATATGTTTCCTGCATTACTCACAGAAGTGATGTGTCTCTTTAGAAATGGGACAGGCTATTTAGAGAACGCAGTGAGGAGTGTACTAGTTAACATCTTAGCAGATGTTTGTCTACATAATTTCATGAGCAAACAATTTAAATGTGTGAATTGTTATTTAATTTATTTAAAATAGTATCAGCTCAAACTTTCTTTCAGTTAATAATAGATCATAAACGACCATCCATCATCCAGGGTCAACAAACTTTCAAAACTTTAATTTTAGTGGATCTTTGGTACGCCATCATTCGCAGTAATTTTTATTTAACCAGTTCCTCATGCTTGCACTTATTTCATAGTTAACAACTTGTGAACATTATGAGAATGTGAGAATTAATTAGCTACATGTGTATCAATATAATAATAATGGCTTTATATTGCACAACCATTTTCCAGCACTATTCCAAGAGCTTTTATAAATCCATCTATACCCTTGCAAAAATGAAAAAGGCAGGGATTAATATCCCACTTCAAAGAGAAAGCACAGAGGATCAAGAAGCTAGGAACAGAAAGGGCCTAGTTTTTATCACCATGTACTTTCTTCAATACACAACTGATATCTAGTCAGTCGTGAAAAATAAAATAGACCCAGACCCAACATTTAGCTGGGCATAGTGAAGTATGTCTGTAATCCCAACACTGAGGAGATGGGGCCTGAGGATTAAGAGTCAGGGGGCAACCAGACAAAACAAAGACAAAAGACAAACTGAGGAGGTGGAGAGGAACTCAAGAGTAGACAACTGGTCTACCATGTGCAAGGCCCTGGCTTCCATCTCTTGAACAGACACACATTTGTGTATAGACACAGTCACATATGCATAATCTTCCCCACTCCCCTACTCCCTCCAAAAATGGTTTTCACATAAAGTCTTGTTCTCAAAATCTGACCCAAGACCAGTGGCATAAATATCCTCCCAGGATTATCATAAATGGAATACCTGGTCCCCAACCCAGATCTTCTGGAGGGAAACTCCAGGGTGGACCCACGATCTGTGTTTCCCATCAAGATCCTCAGTGAGCTGGTATCTGTTTAGGTTTGAGGAAGAGCACACAGTAGAAGAAGCCAGAACGTCTTACAATTGTTGTGGTTTACTGTTAGACTTATATCTAAGCCCAGGCAGACACCAGTTTTCCACAAAACTGAAACCGGCTAAGATGGGGTTGGAGAGCTATGGGTTAGGTGATTTTACCATTGGATTAAGAAAAGCATTCTCATGACTATGGCCATGAAAAACAGGGCAGATATGGTCTTCACTATAGAGGCTCCATGTGTGTTTATTTTCTCATTGAAGTGGTGTGAAATGATATACATTCCATACACATCATACTTGAATTAATTTTTGACTCCCAGGTTAGTGATTGCTGTCAGTCATTTCTGTTGGGCAGCAGGAATGGCCTATAGGTCCAGTCTGGTCTGTGGTCATGGGAATGACTGATGTTCCATGCAGGCCTTGTAACTCCTCTGGCTTGTTCCAGAAGTTAGGTGTATTCCCTGTGTTTTTTAATTAATGCTATTTTCACCTTAGAATGGACTTATTAGGAGATTAACTTTTTTTAAAAAAGATTTGTTAAAATCACACAAAATTGGTTTAAATCAGAAATAAGAGAAAGATTGCAAAGATGTATTTAAAAAGAAATGGATATATACTGTAAAGTTTCACGTGCGTACCCCATATCCCAAAAGCTCCCTAAATAGCAAATACAAATACACTGTGAGCACACCTCACACCGACACTGCTCTAATGAAGCCCTTGTTCCTTTAGGTGTCCGAGTTAAGACAACAGCTTCGAATAAGAGGCTTGCCGGTGTCGGGCACCAAGACGGCACTGGTGGACAGGCTTCGACCCTTCCAGGACTGCGCTGGCAACCCTGTGCCCAACTTCGGGGACATCACGACTGTCACCTTTCCTGTTACACCCAACGCCTTGCCCAGTTACCAGTCCTCCCCATCGGGCTTCTATCACTTCGGCAGCACGAGCTCCAGCCCACCCATCTCCCCTGCTTCATCGGACCTGTCGGCCGCAGGGTCCCTGCCAGACACCTTCACTGATGCGTCACCTGGTTTTGGCCTGCATGCGTCCCCGGTGCCAGCCTGCACCGACGAGAGCCTGTTGAGCAGCCTGAATGGGGGTTCCGGCCCCTCGGAGCCCGATGGGCTGGACTCGGAGAAGGACAAGATGCTGGTAGAGAAGCAAAAGGTGATCAACCAGCTCACCTGGAAGCTGCGGCAGGAGCAGCGGCAGGTGGAGGAGCTGAGGATGCAGCTGCAGAAGCAGAAGAGCAGCTGCAGCGACCAAAAGCCACTGCCCTTCCTGGCCGCCGCCATCAAACAGGAAGATGTCTCTAGCTGTCCCTTTGCAGCTCAACAAGTGTCTGGGAAGGGACAGGGCCACAGCTCTGACAGTCCCCCTCCGGCCTGCGAGGCTGCTCAGCTGCTGCCCCACTGTGTGGAGTCCGCAGGTCAAACTCATGTACTCTCGTCCACGTTTCTCAGCCCCCAGTGCTCCCCTCAGCACTCGCCCCTGGGGACCCTGAAGAGCCCCCAGCACATCAGCCTGCCCCCCTCACCCAACAACCCTTACTTCCTGCCCGCCTCCTCTGGGTCGCAGAGAGAGAGCCACGGGGTCTCCTCACCAAGCAACAGCCAAGGGTGCGCACAGGTAAGCAAGCATGCTTGACCTTGCCACAGGGTGTCTCAGGAGGTAGAAGAGGGACTTCCACCACTAGAGAGCTGGGAAAGGCTCCCTGGCAGCAAGGCAGCACCTCACTGACTCGACCGTCCTTGAGCCTTCACAGCCAGTCTTCGCAATGTGGCTTGGCAAACTTGCTCTACAAAGGTTAGACGGCAAATAAATGTCTGGAAATCATAGCTTCTGGGACAAACTCCTCAGATTTGCCCTTGTAGCAAATAAGCATCCAAAGACAGTTTGGAATAAAACATGCATTTCCAATATAAAGTTATCTATAAAATCAGGCCCCAAGCAACATTGAGCTCGTGGTCTATTATTTGCTGATTAGTGTTCTCAAAAATTAATACCAACCCTTATCATAGCCCAGAGAGTCAAAAGGAAGTTGGGCATGGTAGTACCTGCCTGGAATTCCAGCACTCTGGAAGCTGAGGCAGGGGATTGCTGTGAGTTTGAGGCTATTTTAGGCTACATCCTAAGACCACATTTTGGGGCATGGGGTGGGGTGGAGGAAACAGAGAGACAGCCTGTGTGTAAGAAAGCACTTCCCCTTCTCTTACATTCTCATCAAATATTTATTGAGACCTACCATGGGCCACACTCTGCTGCAGGAAAAAAACGTCTACCCCTGTGGGAAGACAGGTTCTGGGAAGTGAGGAGAAAGATGGTCCATCTTGTAGAGAAAGTAGAGAAGGGCTGGGTTGTGAGAGAAGCCTGGAAGTTTGCAATCTCCACTAAAGAGGTCAGGCGTGTTGCAGAGGAACCTTGAAAGAGGTACAGGAGAGAATACTGTTAAGATTTGGGATGAAGGGATGGAAGAAGCATCAGGTGAAAGTTCCCTGGGATTCAAACCTAAGTAGAATGCCAAAGCATCAGAAAGAAGGCCAGTGTGTGTCCGGGACAGAATAAGGAAAGAGCTACAGAAGAATGGGAATGACAGCTCAAAGTCTACACCCAATGTGATTAGCAAAGGCTTTCCTTGTGTCCAAGAAACAAACGGATTACTAGGAAAGCGTATAGAAGACTATTTGAAGAAGAAAATCTCAGTGTCAAAAGATTATAAAATCTAAGACGATGGCCCACATTGGGTAGCTGCCAATTAAAGTATTAAAAGGCATGAACAGAAGCCATCTTGTCCACTGTCACTGCACCCCTGTGGCTCCAGTTCAGTGCTTTTGTTTACCATTGAGAAAAATGAGATCCTGGAAGATGGAACTCACTGTCTAGAATGCCAGCATTAGTTGATTTTAAAGTTCACAATGAAATACTGCTACCCTGAGGGTGTGCCTCATGACAAGAGTTAATGAGAGTGAATTTCACAAGCTTACCTGAACAGGACGTTAGTATCAGTGGTACCCACTCCTGAAAGAACATACTGGGATAGCTAATCAGCACCATTCCAAAACATCTATTGTATGTGCAGTGCCCTGGGCAACAAAGGTAGAAATAGCCCTTGGGCCATGGCTTGAGCCATGATTTTCCATTTTAAGGATATCAGTGTTATTGGGGAGGAATAAGATGGCACAATAATTTATTGTTTACAAAGACTATAGGACAGTAGCAATTTCATGCAGAACAGACAACAAGACTGATCTATGGCATTAAATCACGTGGCCCAGAATGGGTGGGTAGGCATAAAGTACTGGTAGAGTCCTGGAAGGCTTTGTGACCAACCAGTTTGCACTTCGCAGGTAGCTCTAAAAAGGAGAAGGCTAGCTCAGGAGTTCAGTAGACTTGTCTTTTGTCCATAAAAATGAAGAGGTTTTGGAAAGTCTAAATAGAAAAGAGATATTCTGTGTGAATAAGATAGGTAGGTAAAATGTTTAAGTCGTGGTTCCAGGAGAGTTTAGTTTCGTAGAACTAGGTAATGCCTATAGTCATAGAGAGTCTTGAACTCTTCAACAGGTGAGGTGTGTAAAGTTTGTGCTATGGATATTTGAGAGCTAGGGGAAGTTTGTAATCCACAGGTGACGCATGCAAAACCAGGTTTTAGATATAGTCATCTGCTAAGAGAATTCATGAAGCTTTGTAAATATCAGAAACCTGGGGGCAGAAGATAGGGGTGAGAAGGGTCAGCTAAAGCCACTCTCAAGTATGTTGATCGTTCTTTAATTTGCCACATGTCTTTCCACAGACCTCAGGGGCACATGAAAGCCATCCTCCTAGCTTCTCCCAACCGTCTTCCAGCCTCCATCAGCCCTTCTCTGGTACCCAAGCAGACAGCAGTCACAGTGCTGGGCTCAACCCTTGTCCTAAAAGCCCTGTTATCCATCCAAAGGTCAGTACCAGAGAAGCTGGCAACAGACCAGTTTCTGGGAGGGTAGAATTGAAAGGGGAGCATGGTAGAGAATAGTGTTGGAGACAGAGATGGGTACATAACAGATTAATGTTTAACAAAATGGAAAACTGGGGTCCAGAGCCAAGTCTCCATAGAGAAGATAAGAGATGGTGCTTGTAATCTGATGAAAGATAAAGAGTCAGGATGTGGGGAGTTCCCAAAGCAAAGAGACTGGTGGAACAACTGGCACCATAACTGAGCTCCAGGCCTCATGTCAGCAAAGGGAAAGAAACCCTCACAGCCTAGGCACCTTTAGAAGACCACACTCACAGTAACTGTGTGAAAACCACCCAGTTTGGAATGAATTGTTCTGAAAATACCTGGGTTAAAGAACTTCGTTGTATTGGATTGACCTCATGTCCAGTAGCAAATGATGCAGCTGATAGGTATGGGCGTGCACGCCTTTCATCCCAGCACTCAGGAGGCAGAGGCAGGTGTGTCTCTATAAGGGTCTGAGGCCAGTTTGATCTACATAGTGAGTTCCTAGGATATCCAGGCTTACACTGTGAGACGGGGTGGGGGGAGAAGAAGAAGGAGGAGGAGGAGGAGGAGGAGGAGGAGGAGGAGGAGGAGGAGGAGGAGGAGGAAGAGAGAAAATAAAAAGAAAAGAGGGTACACTTCACTTTAGGGGTGGAAATCAAGAAATCAATCAGTGAGTTTCACGCTAAGGTTCCATTAACAAATCCACGATGGCACAAACTGGTGTTAACCTATTAGTGACCTTTGCTTTCTCCTCATCTCGGGCTTTCATTAGTACTACTTGGCAGTTTTTTCAATTGTGGCCTGTGGTTTCTAGAACACAAGCATTGTCCCTTGAGATGTACTGAATGTTGTTCTCTGGATTGTATCCACTTGCAGATGACTGGTTTGCAATCTTCTGACAAGGTGGGGCCAAAGTTTTCAATTCCATCCCCAACTTTTTCCAAGTCAAGTTCAGTGGTTTCCGAGATAACCCAGCCCCCATCCTATGAAGATGCAGTAAAGCAGGTAACTGCATGGTTAGCTCTATAAGGTTCAATAAATGGACTCAGTAAGCAGAACTTTGCAGTATTAAGTATTGTATGTTTGGTGGATTCTGATATTGAGTGGGTTCAGTCCCTACCTAATAGAGTGAACAAAGTGTGTCCATATCATCTAAAGACAGGGTTGTACAGTTGGTTCCAAGTCCGGATAGTTCTGTTGATGACTTCTCTACCTTATGGCATTATAAAATGTCATGCATTCAATCCACTTGCATTTTGAATTTGGGCTTTATTGCAAGCTGGTAGCATGTGATACAGTGTTCTGCATGCTGGGCAGCCAAGGTGAGCCACAGTTCCTAATCAACTGCCCAGACACAAGAGAAACCAGGTGCTCTACAGCATGCTGTGTTGCTGAACTAGGGTGTGTAGTGGACTGTGTAAGCACAATGCATTTTGGTCTATGATGATATCAGTTTATTACTTTATCTGTGTTTATTACCTTTTGGTAAACTGAGGGAAACTTGTAACATCTGAGTATTCGGGGAGAGCAGGCTGAGCAGGCATTCCCGAGGCCTGGCCTTACTGCCAACTCCGTCACCTGCCACTGTCACTGAGGTTGGATACACATTCAACTTCTCTTCAAGAAAATAAAAGTATTCACTCTGTAAGGATTACTGATAATCTTGTACTTACCTCATTGTTTGGTAACATGGTAGGGTATTCAGATATGAGAGCAATTGTCAAGACTACATTTTCCTAATTTCTTAGCTTTAACACTGAATGACCTTGAAACAGTATTGATGGCTGTTGAACCTAAGTAATAGATACAGGGAGATTCATGGACTCTAACACTTATATTTATGTTTTGAAAATACTTCAGAATTTAAAAAAGTAAGAAAAAGAAAAACATGGGTAATCTTAGTCAGCCCTCTGTGAGTGCATCCTAGCAGCCATGGCTTGAACACAGTAGGGAAAGAAGTCCTGAAAGTCTCTACACACACCCCTTGAACTTGTGTGATGATGAATCCATCCAGATGGAAGGGTTGTCTGTCTTGTCGTGAGCCAGCTTCTAGCCATTTCACAGGTCCTCTGCCTCTCCAGCATTTGCACGGGTGTGTCAAGAGTCAAGTCTCCCGTGCTGTGTTAGGCATGTCACAGCTCCATCTGTGTGGAGCATACACCCCTTCTGCTTGTCATCGGTCCCAAAGCCACACAACACAGTAGATATTTTCACAGCATTTACACTGTATTAGGTAGCAAACTCCAGAGATGACTTGCAAGGCATGGAGACAGGTGTAGGTTCTATGCAAATACTAAACCATTTTATAGAATAGACTGGAGCACCTGAAGATTTTGGAACCCAAGGGTGAGTGCTCCTAGAGATTAGCCTCCTCGGATACTGAAGGATGAGTAGTTCAACTGAAATAGTTTCAATTTAATTATATCAAAATAATTATCTCTATGTACCCAACCCAGAACAGAGCATCGATATCAGGTGCTGCCTGCTGTCCAGTCTTTTGAAATCAAACCCAAGGCAGTAAGGTTTCTTTTGCGATCCAAAGATGTCATGATAATGATATAGACTCCCATTTCTGAAAACTTCAGGAGAAGTTAGACTGTGCTTAACCATTCAGATGAGCAGAGATAAGAGCAGACTCACAGGTTCTGCAAGATGAACCAAGAAAATTGAAGCCGACATCCTGAACCGTGTCCATAGCAGCCAAACAGAGGTGGACACAAGTAGATTCCAAAGTGAGAAAGGGATGTGTATTAAGATGCCTCCTTCTGGGACGGAAGCTCCCTTGCGAGGTTAGGCTCACATTTCCCATCTCCCTCATTCTTGTGTGTTGTGTTGGACTATCTAGTTCAGTGGATTATCTGAGTACAATTTACACTAAGATTTTTGATCAAAATGGACCAAAGCCCTTTAGCAGGTCTAACTAAGCTCTTAACAATATTACTCACGAAAGCCAGAAGTAGAAATAGTCCAAGTACCCACCAGCAGGCAAATGAAAAACTAAATGTGGAGGAGTCACACTGCAGAGCACCATTCGGTCCAAGACCAAAAGTAGTCAAATTCATGGGAGGCAGGAAGGAGAATAGTGACTATCGGCACTGGCAAAAGGTTACCGGGAGGTGTTGCTTATTGTGTATAGAGTTTGAATTTGTTTAGCAAAATAGTTATGTGGGTACATAGTGTTGATGAAAAAAGTAAATGTACAGCTAAAATGGCAAAGCTTTTAAGTTTTATGCTATGCTCTATTTTACTATGCTTTTTTTTGGGAATCCTTAAGCAAGCCTAGTCCAAAGCCCTACAGCTCTTCTTCTACTGTCTCCATACCGACGTGGCCACCTCCTAACCTCTCTGCTCTCTTTTTGGCTAATTTGAAACAGCAAATGACTCGGAGTCAGCAGATGGATGAACTCCTGGATGTCCTCATTGAAAGCGGAGGTAAGATTGCCTTGTCCACTGTCCATCAGGATCCTTCCTACCTGTAGACTCTCTAAGACATGGCCTCTTATGACCACGGTCAGGGACACACTAAGTCAGATACACCAAGCGGTCTGCTGGTAGAGTCCATTCCTCTGAGCTTCAGGTGTGCCTTGTTAGCAGAGAAGAGAATCCCAGAGGATGGTTTCTCACCACCTTTATCCTGGGGATGCTCTGCAAGCCACCTTTCAGTCCATCCCTGTCTCTGGAAGTGTGGTTTGTTATTCCACCACTTTCCTGCAGGTCTAGTCCCTGTCTTCTTGATTAAAAGAAGAAAGAAATAACTCTGGAAACAGTAAAAGCTTTACTCACTACTCAGGCTGAAATTCAGCCAGCTATCGCTCACTGGATGCCTCATTCATGCTTAAATGTTACTCCACTTAGCAATAAAAGTAACCACTGTGTCCCTCCACCTATTCATTCATTTATTTAAGGAACATCACAGAATGTCTGCCTAGAATTTGAAAACACACAAAGGAACCAGAGGTCTGAAGGAGAATGTGTGAAGGTCAGACAAGAACATGGGGGCTGAACTCTTCATCAACAGCACCTGGAGCTTAACAGGAGGACTCAGAGATAGAATGCCAGACATAATGCTAAACGCAGCTTTCCACCAGATAATTCTGTGGAACACAGTCTGGTAAGGGAGATGAGTGGTGAGCAAGAGAACCAGTGTTTCTTATCATAACAGGGAGGATAGGAGAGAAGAGCACAGGTGTGTGTTTGCATTGAAGTTTCATGATGGAAGATGACTTCTCTACCAGGTGCTCCTTCTTTTTCCTGAAGTATGGGGCCAGGAGGCAGAGGAGTGAGGACACAGAAGGGAGTGTGGGAGAGTCTAGGAAAGGTAGTCATGATTGAGATGAGTTTTATAGAGAAATGCAAGATCGTAAGGCAGAATTAAGTGCAAGTAGAAGGTTTGATGCCATCAACTGAAAGTAAACCCAGCCAGCTCAGTGGAATTGTTGTTCTCACACCACATCCAGGTGACTTGGTGCAGGCTAAGAGAAACTGCATGGGGCTTATCAGGGTGGAGGATGTTGCTAAGCTGGGAGAGAAGGGCAAAATGGTGGAAATGACCGTAACAGTGGGCCATAGAAAATGATCCAAACAAGGAAAGAAGTGATGTGGGAGTTACTGACATACAATGATCGATAGTGCACCAGTAGATTAGGTACCTAAGAGTGTCTTAGGAATAACTGACTTGGAAAACGTCATAAACAAGCTAGAGATGGGGAAGGAGAAGGACAGAGAGTAGGAAATCCTGCTTAAGATAGAGTTCTTGGAAGGATGGGCTATGCAAGGACAAGGCTCAAAGTATCAGCCAGAGTGGGGAGGCCATCATCACTGGAGTAGATAGGAAGGACAAGGAACTGAGAGGCCAGCATGAGCCGTGTGTGACTTCTATGAATATATAGTCTTTGAAATAAGAAACACCGACCTGGCAAAATGGCTGCGAATTAGGAGATAGTTCCCAAAAGATGGAGAGGTGTGATCTGCAGGTCTCAACTAGGGAAATGGGCTGCCCTAAAAACTACTGAGGAATGGTAAGAAGGCATCAACATAAAAATAGCTGTGGGATGACACTCATCCCTCCTTTGCTGCCCAACAGAGAGTATGACAGAGATACAGTGTCCTCCAATTCAGCTAGTGGTAGCGAAGGGGGCGAAGTAGCCAGCAGAAAAGAGTGGAATTTCCAAGGTGGGGATATTTTGGGACACTTTTAGAAAGAAGGAATGGAGAGACAACAGAGGTAGGGGTGAGCCCAGGGCTAAGTGCTGAACAGAAAAGCATTGCCACCTTCTGGGCTATCCAAAGAGCATCTCATTTATCCCAAAGACTCATCATGTGGCCTGGACAGTTTGAGGAGCTGTAACAAGTCACGCTGTGTTTTACCAACAGAAATGCCTGCTGATGCCAGGGAAGATCATTCTTGTCTTCAAAAAGTTCCGAAGATACCCGGGTCCTCCTGCAGCCCTACCACCATCCTCCCCAAGTCCTCAGCTCCCTTTGAACAGGCGTCTTCGGGAGGTCAGATCTCCTTTGACCACTATGCCACCGACAGCGATGAACACCTAGAAGTCTTACTGAATTCTCACAGCCCCATGGGAAAAGTGAGCGACGTCACCCTCCTCAAGATCGGCAACGAGGAGACGCCTTTTGATGGAATCGTGGATGGCTTCCCAGGGAAGGCTGCTGAAGACCTCTTCAGCGCTCACGAGCTCTTGCCTGGGCCCCTCTCCCCGATACATCCGCAGTTATCACCCTCATCAGTGGACAGCAGTGGCCTGCAGCTGAGTTTCACAGAATCTCCCTGGGAAACAATGGAATGGCTGGATCTTACTCCACCAAACTCCACGCCAGGCTTCAGCAACCTCACCACCAGTGGCCCCAGCATATTCAACATCGATTTCCTGGATGTCACAGATCTCAATTTGAATTCCCCCATGGACCTCCACTTACAGCAGTGGTAAACCCTTGAGGAACAAGGGCTAAGGGAGCTTGATAGAGATTCCATGGAGAAAGCACACAACCAGAAACACTTGTGTGATCCAAAAGATGAAAAAGAAAAAAATGGGGAGGGGGGGGAGAAAACAGCGATGGAGGTTTTTGTGACAGTCAACCAGAACAAATAGCAGGCAGTCATTAAGATATGTCTGATGTAATTCCTACCAGCATTCAGTAACTGTTGAAAACTTCAGCAATGCACTCCAAATTGTGCTTTCCCGGATTAACAATGCCAAAATTGTCTTTTACTGCCTTTTCTCATACCAGAATTTTTCTAGCCCACAGTTTGTCCCAGGCATTACTGGGACGTAAGTTCACACGACATTTTGTCTCAGGCATTACTGAGGCATAAGCTCACACTGTTGACTTTTGTTATGAATTTACTAAACATTCTATGGAAGGAAAATACAGCCTCCAGCAAGGGCAGGGAAGCCAGTGCCTCAGAGGTTCTGGAAGCCGTGTCATGGTGGAGGCAACTTCCTACTTGTCCAACATCTATCTGTCAGAAGAGCAGGACCTATTTCAGCCGATAGAGTCCTTAAGGCAAAAGAGAGGGACAAAACCAATCCATTCCCCCCCCCAAAAAAAAGGCAACAGCAACTCAGTGCCCCTCAAGCCCCAAATTGTCCCACTGGACTGGTTATCACTGACAACAGCTAACTAGCATTGCCCAGAGAATCCATTCAGAACATGTCACTTTTTAACCAGTAATCTGATTGTTTCTGCCATCTCTATGATCGTCAGAAATGTATAGAAGGTGAGAAGCTTGAATCAAAAGAACTTCATGCCATGGCTCTCAAATATAACTACCTCTAGTTCCAAAGACTAGAAGTAAAACCATCAGAAAGGCAACTGGAGGCCCAGGAAGTCACACTGGGGCAAGTTAGAATTGGAGAACAATGTCATTTCACATTCCAGGAAAGAAACACCATGGATTGTTATTATAGAACTAATGAGCAGGGCCAACTCCTCTCCCTCCTTCTTTCTTTCATATTATGGACAGAGGAAGCCTCAATTCATCATATTCTAACTACTTTTCTTCCAAGATATTGATCCTTAACTGTTCTTTTGGAGTTGATAATCTCCATCTATCTGTCTGTCTGTCTGTCTGTCTATCATCTATCTATCTATCTATCTATCTATCTATCTATCTATCTATAATCTATCATCTATCATCTATCTATCTATCCATCTATCTACCTATAATCTATCATCTATCTATCTATCCATCTATCTACCTATAATCTATCATCTATCTATCTATCTATCTATCTATCTATCTATCTATCTATCCACCCATTTATCTCTTTCTCCCACACACGGGGAAAGGAAAGATTCTCAGCTATAAGAAGTTGCCATACTCCTTTTAAAGCCTTTTTAAAAAAATATTAAAAGTCCAAACTCTCTTACCAAACTTGTTTTTCACTTGCACATTGATTGGCTGCAAGCAGAATTTACAAGAATTTCCTTAGGAAGAAACTGGGGACGTGGCCCACTGGTCACAACGCTTGTTTTATTCTTATTTGATTTATGGACAATCTTTGGTTTGTGTTGCTCTGGGGAAATTGGAAATCATTGTAGAGTGGAGATAGATCAGGGTAACATCTACGGTAGACAGCATTTCAGTCAGGTTTCCGAAGGAAAGCGCGATTGCACTTTGCAAACAACGGGAGGGTGAAAGACAGTGGTCTTGACAAGTGCTCCTTGTTGCCCCTGTGTTTGGTCCGGGCACAGGGGACAGAGGAAGACAACACAGATTGCAGGAGTCTCCCAGAGGCTCACTGTGGCGCCAGTTCTAGTAATTATAATGTTGCATGCTATAGAATGTAGCTGTTGCTGTTTTGTTTTGTTTTTAATTTAAATCACAAAGGCACTGTTTTCTTCTTTTGTAAAAAAAAAAAATTCACTGTGCACTTATAGAGAAAGTAATCAAAAATGTTGTGAATTTTTTAGAAGTTGTCTTTTTGATAAACCAAAGAGTTAGAAACCATTCCATTGTCAACTTGTAAAAAAAAAAAGTTTGAACACTGAGTGTTTTTGGTGACTGCTACTCTGAGAGCCACCACCTTACTGTAGGGAAGGAAACACACAGATGTGCACACATATGTAGTTCTATACCTGTGTGTATGGAATATGTGTATACACACAGGTCCACATAGGTATACAAATGCATATGTGTGCACATATCTGAAAAGTGACATTCAGAGTGCCTGGAACCCTCAGTCTGCTGTGAATGATGCGTGGCCTTTGCTACTATGAGTTGCTTATTAACCAATCAGACTCCACATATATGACTGTAGATGACTAAGGACTCCAGCCCAATGCTCATAGCCACTTGCTATCATGAACAAGCTCCTCCTGGCAATGCATATGGATGTGAGAGGACAGAGCAGCCTCACTGTCAGGGGCTGCTGAGGCTAGTGCCTTCTCTTGCAGAGAGTCGAAAGGGAGCATCAACTTTGTTCTGACATTCCTTGATCTGCATTGCGCTTGGAAGGGTCTACGTGATGAACTTTGCATTGTGTTTGTATGTCCATCATCAGAACCACAAATCCAGAGGCAAAGCTTAGCATGAAGATGAAGCTATGGGGAGAAACCTTTATTGCCACATTCCAAACATTGGTTTGACCTCCAATGCTGATGTTTCATCTGAGTCTGGATGAAGCTTGCTGCTCTGTGCATTTTCCTAGGCTCCAACTGTACCATATATGTTATCTCTTTCTTGCTTCCTTGGAAAACAAACCCACACAGTGTCCTGCCTCTAAACCCCTCATCTGAGTGGTAATAATTTTCTTTTTGGGAATTCCTGCCTGAGCAATTAGCTGGCTCTGTTTTTATCTAGACTGTGGGAGATTTTTAAAGATATTATTCAAACTGATACATGCACTTCACAGTAGACGAAAGGGAAGACAGCTCTGGTTTGTTACTACAAGCCAATACAGCTAGAATGGGTCCCTGGATACTTGGCCTCAGCCTGTTCCGCCATCTCCCCAGGCCGTGTTTACCCTGTTTTAACAGCACAGGTAGGAGATTGGAGACAATTGGGAGAGGATTAAGATGGATCAAATACTCATGTTTAGCTTATTCAGCTGTTTTCTATTGCTTTTGTTTTTGTCTTGTTTTTTATTTTAACTTTAGGTTCTTTTAATGCAGAGATGGCCACCCTTGGGTTTAGCAGTGTTCCTTGGAGCCTCAAGGGACCACATGTTTAAGACGCCTGGAATATCCCCTTAGGAAGGAGAGTCTTGGTCATTCCTACTGTGGCTACAGGACAGCAGATCCCTCTAGATCCAAAGGAGTCCAATTTTCCCTCAAGCAAGATCTTCCAGTAAGCAGGACTCAGTAATGATGTCTCTGCTGCTAACAGTGTTATGAAGATAACAGGAACAGGAGAAAGAATGCAGGAAAAAGGAGGAAAGAGAAGGAAAAGGGAGGAGAGGAGAGGGAGAAAGAAGGAGGGGGAGGAGATGGAAGGGACAGAGAGGAAGGAGAGAAGGAAGGAAGGAGGAAAGGGAGGAAAGAAGAAAGGGAGAAAGGAAGGGACGGAAGGGACGGAAGAAAAGAGGGGCAGGGAAGGGAAGAGAGGAGAAAACCAGGGCCTAGCTTCCTGACCCATGAACCTCTTGGTTCAGCTATGATGTCAGAAACAGTGGAACTCAAACTTGGAAGAAGGAAGCCCTTCTTCAGAGCGATGGAGTGATTCTACCTGTAAACAGGGACATCAACACAGCCTCCATTCAGGAAGTCCAGGTCTACCAACTGGCAGTCTTGTGCCTTTCCAAAACATTAACTGGGGACAAAAAAGAATAAAACCTGCCCCAAGCTCTCAAAACAGATCTTCTTAAAAGTTATTTCTTTTATGCTCAATCAATCAGCTTTCTTAGAGCTAATCAGGGAGTTTTCAACTCCCACGTGATGCATACCATCTGGGAAGTGGCCTCTGATGCCTGCCGTGTATAGAGCACAAGGACTTCCAGGTTTGGTTCGGCACAGATGTTGATTGCCTGGGGCGCCACAGCTCCTCTAAGCAAGAATGCCAAGACTCTTCCAGGCCCTTGCACTTGAGTCCTCTTAGCAGTCATGAAGGGGGTGTCTTGGTTTTTTTTCAGAAACAGGAGACTGTTTTCATGAAAAGCTCTCAGCACACAGTCTTGTCTTTTCTACCAGGGTCACAGGATAGTAGTGTTATCTTAGAAATCTGCCTCTCACCATTTAACCTGGGAGAAGTTTGGGGGATGTTTTAGCAGAAAGAGAAGTCCTTTGGAAATAAGGAGTGGAGGGTGGGTATCCATGGTGAGCCTCCCTCCAGCAGGAAAGCTTCGTAGAACCCAGTGGCCACTTGTTGCTGCTGCTTCTCCCCAGCTTCTTGCTGCATTCCCTCAGGAAGAAGTCCATGGATACTGGGGCACAGTTTGGTGTCAATTAGAAAGAAACTTCGATCCTGGTTAGTATAACACAGAACAGCAGAGAGGTTTAGAGGCAGAAACTTCTGAAACTCCCTAGACAGATGACATCAACAGACCTGGAGAGTTAGGATGTTAAGACAAGATGGTCCCATACTACTGAGAGCTGATTAGTTGTGTCTAGCAGCCCTCACTAGGAGAAGACAATCTGTAAGGAGATGGTTTCAAGGCAGGAAGGGATTCGGGAAGAACTCTGCAGCTATCTGCCAGGGATACTGTACTAGCTGGATTCAGCGAGCACGAGCGCGCTCCCTTCTGATCCTAGGGAATCAATCATACTCCCGCAAGCCAACCCCTGCTGGTTCTGGTGTTCATTCCAACTACCAGCTTCAGCTTCTGGAGACTATGCTCCCACTAGATGCTTTAGGTGTGCTAAGGTACGAAAGAGATCCAGAAAGCGCTTTAAAAGTTTTCCAAAGGAGCAAGACCCCCTGCTGCCAGGGCTCAGTTCCAATGGCCTTGTCAAAAGGACCAAGGGCAAAGAATTGCGAGGAGGTGAAAAGTCAACCCTCAGTGGAGCAAAGCAGTGTTCTGGAAAGAACAAGGAAGCAAGCTTGGTTTTCTTGGCTCCAGTGCGGCGGTGTTTTCATGTTGTTTTCCTTTGCTCTGTATGATCTGAAAGAAATGTGATTCATTGGGCGAGCGAGGAAGCAATGGCTAAAATACCAAAGTTGGCATGTGTCCTTTTTTAAAAAAAAATGCATATATTTTTAAATAAAATGTTTATTTTAATGAGATGTAAACAGTGTTTTCTTTGATCAGCTAATATGCCCAGGTATAATGTTCTTTATATGTGTACCGCCTGTTCTCCTGTCAGCAGCTGAAAAAGTGGTACCACTGTGATCCTCACCTTGCAGATGAAGAAACTGAGGTTCAGAGAGGCTAAGTAAACTCTCTAGGATGGTATAACTTATAAACTAGCAGAATCAAACTTTGATTCGTCCACCTCCAAGGCCCCTGCCTGTGCTCACCACTGGCCATGCTAACACAATGAACACTTTGTGGAACAGACCCACAAACTGCCTTAGCATTCCCATCAAAATACTCACATGTACAAATGTGTGTGCATCCTAATCAAGCCGATGTTTTCATGACTTTGGCAACAGGTCAAACTGAAAAAGGCATAGAGTAAACTGGGGATCAAGATGGCCTGCTAGATACAGACACCATCCCTAAGATGTAGACTTTTTGTATCTGCTTTTCTTATGTAAATGTATTTCCATCTGTCATATTCTCATTGGAGAATATGTAACCCGATGGAAGGGCTATGATGCCGTGGATGACCTTTGGACCAGAGAGAGATCACCAAACCTGGTCCAGATGAGAATGGCTCTTTCTCTGTCAAGTAATTATGCCTTCTCACATTGTCCTACACTGGAATTTCTGCACAGCACATGTATAATAATTACAAGATTGTAGTTAACATCAACACAACATAAAAATTCTTGCGCAAGGGAACACATTCCAAAGGGCTGTGGCAGACATTTCATCGCTGGCTGTCACTAGTGTCTCAGTTTCTCTTGAGTCTCTGAACTCATCTCTGTTCACCTGGAGAAGCAGGCACAAGTTCATTTTCATGGCCTAGTTCCCCCAAGCTAAAGAGTGGAGCCATTTGAATCTCATGGACCACTGAGGGTATGGGGTGCTTTTACTCCAAGGGGCATTGTAACCTGAAAAGCCCAAGACAGATTACCACTACATAAGCCCTGTGTTTTAGTTACTTTTCTATGGCTATAATAAAATAGCATAACCAAAGCAACTTATAGAAGAAAGGGTTTGTTTGGCTTATAGTTGTAGAAGAATAATAATCTATTAGCGTCCAGTGGGGCAGAGATAGTAGGTAATAGGGGCAGGCAGCTAGCGCAGCTGCTGAGAGCTGAGAGCTCTATCACAAGCAGGAAGCACAGAACAAACTGGTCTTAGCATGTGGCTTTTGAAACCTCAACACTCACTCCAGGGACGTACATATTTTTTGCCAACCATGCCATATACCCTAATCCTCTCCAAGTAAACACCGAGTAGGAATCTAGATAGAGTATTTGGAGAGTAACTCATTCAAACCACTACATCGTGCTTTCCAAACTTTGCCCTTGTCTAGAGGACAGAGACAAATAGATACAGAATGATGTAGAGCTATTAAGCAAATAGTCTGGACTTCCAGTAGGGTGTTTAACAAAGTCGTGGTGGAAGTGGAAGATACACAAGAAGGCTCCAGCAAAGAACATTTGAACAGGGTATGGGTTACAAAAGAGTTAGGAAGCAAAGGAGAAGAGAATATTGTGGGCAGAAGCCCAACCCATGCAAAGGCTTCCGATTAGAGGAAAGGACCACAGTCAAAGGACCTAAGACATGCTCATTGCATTATAGCCAGGGGATGGGATGCTGTGATTGAAAAGTGAAGGTGATGCGGAGAAAGTTGGGAGCTCTGTTTGTCAGAGTGGGCGTACAAAAGGCTACAATCTGGTAGCTAAAGTAGCAGAGATATTTTTTGGTTATGGACGTTTGAACTCAAAATACCAATAGGGTTGGTTACTTTAAGAGTTGAGAGGGCTCTGCTCCAAGCCTCTCACTGTGCCTTATCTTCTTATTGCATTGTGTGTGTGTGTGTGTGTGTGTGTGTGTTTATGCACACATGCACACACATGCACACTTGTAGGAGTCAGGAAATTTTTAAGAGTTGGTTGTGTCCTTCCTGGATATTAAACTTAGGTTGTCATATTTGGCAGCAAGTACCTTTTCCCTCTTAGTGATCTTTATGGCACTTTCTAAAGGCTGTCTTCATGGGTTTGTGTGATTTGTATCATTGAACTATCTTCCTTCTGTATGTCCCTGTGCTCAAGCCATATTGACTTAGAGCTGGCTCTAAGGACTTTATTTCAGTTAAATTCCCTCTATAAAGATCCTCTCACTCTCCAAGTTAAGGAATGGTGTCCCAGTTTGGAACAGAGGAATTAAAAGCTTTCCACTGGCTACTGCTAGCCACTCTATGAGACCTTTAAAAAGTTATGGACTCCCTCCTGCTCAGGCAATGATGACCTTGAAAAGTAAGCATGAATTAAAAATGGATGTTCAATTTGGAAGAGTATAGTCTGAGTTCTCTAGATACTCTGCCAAGCCCAGGGAAGGGCTCAGATCCTCTAAGCTTCTGCAGAATAGCAAGCTGGTAAGGGTTTCCGAAAGTCACTTTCCCCAGGGTCTGCCAAGGACAAGGCACAATGGGGCGATTACACAATTCATCACCCAGAGCACACGTTGTGGTCTAGGATTAAATGTTCAATCCAACATGAAGCCAGGACAACAGGCACATCCATGACTGTTCAAGGCAAAATCAGGTCACCCAAAATACAAGCCACCTTGAAGAACCTAGAACCCACATCTGCATTCTTATACCCTCAGTGTATGGTGGACATACAGAAATGAAGGTCTTTTTGGTGTGACGAAGCAATCTTAATGAGGAGTTTGGTACTTGCCCACCTGACATCAGGTTTCCTTCTCTTCGTTCTTGAGGCAGAGAGTACCTCTATATTATTTAGGCTGCTCTGGTCCTCTTGTGTCAGACTCCTAAGTGTTAGGATTACAGGCATGTATCATCAAGTACCCTTGAAATTCAAGCCCTCTACCCCATGAAAATTTTGTCTATGAAGATTATGCCAGAACTTTATCATCTTGATTTATTCCATGCTTCAAGTCTCTTCAATGCACACACAAATCAACCCATCCTTCTTCAACATGTTCTATAATAGGAGACACTAGGAGACTCAGCCTTCATGGACCTGGGGTCTAGAGACATTTTGGGTGACATACCTCTACATAATCAAGAACATCAGTAGGTGAGAAATTCCAATCACAACAAAATTATACTCTGAAACAGAACACCCAACCGTAAGGCAACCCCCACAGAAGCTAGCCTTTATTTAATATGTGCTGTGTCACAACATGCCTAGTGTCAAGTGAGTTCTCTCTGTATAAGCTTTTGCGTGCAATTTTAAACTCAGATTCCTCCAGGATCTGTGTTGTGTTGTTTGGCTGCAGAAGGTTAAGTTAGTTATGTGGAAACACAAACCGATACCCAGATTTGAAGAGGTACCCAAGCTTCTAAGCAGATGTGGCAGAGAAGTATGTCACTCTTGGCAATACTCCATTCCATGCAATCCTATCTGACCGACCCTCCCCTCTGAGAAATCTGGGTCCCAGCATCTCCAATGCTTGTTTGTATGTTTCTGCCATCCCACAGAACCATCCTCAAGACATAGTGTCCAGACATAGAATACACATGTGAGCTTGTGGGTTGTGACTGAGGCAGACAAATCTTTCTTACGCCTAGCATTTGCTATTTTATGTTGCCTCTTGGACTGACCATGTACTTGCTACCTCGGTAGTAGCAGCACTTTTTACATGTGTGGCTGCGTTCTCATTTTCCTTCTTCTCTATCCGCCTCTGCTACCTAAGTTTATTCTTTCACATTTCTTGTCATAAATTTGACAGGTTTGCCATTTTGGAACTTAAATCGACGTCTTATTCCTTCTTTTTTTAATTTTTTAAAAAAATTTCTGATGATACTGAAAATATTAGATCTACAAAATTCCTCCAGAGTTCAATTATGTTATTTAACTACTGAGATTTGGGGGCATAGGGAGATATCTCAGAAGTTAGAAGTGTTTGTCCAGAAGACCCCAGTTTAGGTCCTAACACCCACTTCAAGTGGCTCACAACCACCTGTAATTACAACTCCAGGGCGCTTCATGCCTTCTTCTGGTCTTTACAGGTACTCACATGCACACACACATATGTGCAAACACACACAAAAATAAATAAGGAATCTTTTTAAGTCTGAGATTTTTATATAGTGTTCACAAATAAATCACTTTATGGCTATATCTATAGTGTTTATTTCACCTTTAATCTATGGGATAACTTAGAAGACTGGGCTACAATTTCCAAATGCTCAAGCCGAGCCTCTATTTGTTAATTTAAACATGAATACTAATTTTTAAAATGTAATAGGCTTGTAGAAAGTTCCCCAAATCAGAGCCATTGAGATGACTCAGTGGATAAATGTGCCTGTTGCACATACCTGGCACATTCTGGATTTGAACCCCAGAACCTACATGATGGAAGGAGAGAATCAGTTCCCTCAAGTTGTCTACTGGCCTCCACATGCTCACCTCCTAATAGAATAAATAAAAAAAAACCACACACACAAATCATAACTTTAGAGATTCATGAATTTTTCACAAAATGTATATAGTCAAATAGACACCACTTAGATTAAGATGTAGGACATTTCCATCACCAGAACCATAGAAGTTAATTTATTATGTGGGCTTTAAAACTTAATGTAAATGAGATCATATAATGTGGGCTCTTTGGGATCTGTTTTTAATGCTTGATCTTGTTTATGAGATTTACCAAGTTTTCATCAATTATTACATGAGGGTCTGTTTTTATTTCTATATAGTATCCTATAAATACCAGTATTTACCTACTCATTTTACTGCCAATAGATATTTCAATTGTTTCCACCTTTATAGTATTATAAACACAGCTAGCATAAACATTTTAACACATGCTTTTGCTGAAATAAATACACATTTCTGTTGCATGTGTAAAATTGCTTGGTCACACGCTCTGCAAGTTGCCTGGCCTACGCAGATACTGCAAATGTGCTGTTTACAGCACTTGTACTGATTCCACTCCAACCAGAACCTGTGTGCGTTCCAGGTTCTCTG